TTTCCTCTGTTAAATTTTAAATACTGCAAAGGAACCATTTTCCCTGGGAGGCTCCCACACTGGGGATGAAACTTTCTGTGTGGAATTTTGGCACCCTATTAATTAGTGGTTATGAGTGGGAGCTGCTCTCTCTCAGCAACTCCTATTCTGCCATCAGTCAAGTGGGATTCTGTAATAAATTTCCACGAAGCAAACTATTTCTGGTAATTCTCCCTAATTAACACCAGGCCTGCTAATAATACATCAGTACCTATGTGTTTCTGATATAACCAAGATCTTGTCTTGAGTACTCGAAAAGGGAAACCGCCAACCTAAATTAAGCTTTTGCTGGCAAAAGGTTTTTATATGTAGTCCTGTTAGAAAACCTTTGATAATCTTATATTGGGGACATTTTGACTAGAAAACACTAAACGACAGGGAGGCTTGCTCTGGTTTGAGCACTGAATGGGGATTTACTGTGAACACACAGTGGAGACTTAAGCCTATAAATCTTGTACTGGATTACTGTTTCTTAACGAAGGAATGACAGATCTCTTATTTTGTCGGTGCATTTTAATGTGCAATGACGTGATTGATAGAAACCAAACAGCAGCTATTAAAACGTCAGATGCAGACTTGATGCCCTTAAAAGTTTGGCTTCTGGAGTTTAATATACTGTGAGCAAATAGACTTGAATTTCTCTTTTATTTCGAATATACAGCCTGCAACAGAAACATTTGTCTTAACTTTATACAGTTGGAAAAAAATTCTTACTCCAACCAATAAACAAATAAGGAAGAGGCGAACTTACCAAGTTATGAAATAGCTAACAAGATCAGTGAACCGAGCACGAAGCAATGTACCTGGCTAATACAAAATGTGAAAAGGTAGATGATCCGTGTGGTCTGATATGACCTATGATATAACTAACGCTTCATATGACAGGTTATTCAAAAAACTAATTTCAGTAGTAACTATTTTTAAAAAACAACCTATTTACTATTTTTTTTTTTTTTTTTTTGGGAGATAGAGTCTATGTCACCCTCAGTAGAGTGCTATGGCATCACAGCTCATAGCAACCTCCAGCTCTTAGGTTTAAGCGATTCTCTTGCCTCAGCCTCCCAAGTAGCTGGGACTATAGGCACCTGCCACAACGCCCGGCTATTTTTTATTGCAGTTGTCATTGTTTTGATTTCATTTGAACCCATCAGCCTCGGTGTGTGGCTGGTGCCATAACCACTGTGCTATTATAGGCACCGAGGCAACTTATTTACTATTAATCCATAAACACTATGAATTCTATGTGCAGATCACAAAAATAGATGAGTAGAGTAAATGTGACTGTATTATCAAATGCTTGGTTTCTGGGACACTTTGATAGGCAAATATCACAAAAGAGGAATTCTTCTGAGAATCGTATTTTGGAAATATGGAACTTGATTTTTGCCTATGATGACTTAATGGAAACTACTTACCACCCAAAAAGAAAAAACAAGAGAGCTTGTCTACATCAATACAGCCATTATTTATTATGTATACATTAAGGTATTACTATACTGATTGTATTTCTCATGTGGCTTTTAATTAGAAAATGTATCCAAAAGCAAAACAGCAGATATACACAAATGTAAAAACTTAAACAGAAGATAGAGATTAACGGATAAGGTAACTTCTACATCGAGAATCTAAATCTAATACCTCTAAACATTTGGGGAGAGAGGGTGACAACCTGGAGCTAGATTAGATGTATATAAAACCATTCATGTTTTCCCCTATGTCTGAAATGCCTCTCCCTCCAAAAGAGATGACCAAACTGCCAAATGCCACAAAAATGTTACTATTAAGCATATAACACCAGATTAACTGTTAAGCAGGGGAAAGGAAGGTATTGTTTTCCATAAAAAGTGCTCCTAAAGCAGTATCCGTTGAAAATGGTACATTTTTGTTGCAGATTTATCTTAGACATAATTGTACACTAATATTCTGTTAAAGTACTACTTCTGTTTAATCCACAACCAAATGATTAGGTTTTAGTTTTAGACTTTAAGTGTAACCCTAAGAGTAAATACTATGAGCTACTACTGTGGTCCCTCAGTATCCAGGTGGGGACTGGTTACGTAAATCCGCAATGCTCAGGTCACTTGTATAAGATGGCTGTAGTATCTGCATATAACCTATGCCCATCCTACCAAATACCTTAAATCTATGGTCCCCAACCCCTGGGCCGGAGACCAGTAGGTCCATGGCCTGTTTGGAACTGGGCTGAGCAGCAGGAGGTGAATGGCAGGACCGTGAGCAAAGCTTCATCTGTATTTACAGCCACTTCCCATCACCGCCTGAGCTCCAGCTCTTGTCCTATCAGCAATGCCATTAGATTCTCACTGGAGCTCAAAGCCTACCGTAAACTGTGCATGTGACGGATTTATGTTGTGTGCTCCTTATGAAGATCTAATGCCCCATACCCCATCCTGAGGAAAAATTATCTTCTATGAAACCAGTCCCTGTTGACAGAAGGGACTGCTGCCTTAAATCATCTCTGGATTACTTATATATTGAATACAACATAAATCCTATGTAAATAGTTGTACTGTTTAAGGAATAATGACAAGGAAAAAAAGTCTGCATATGTTCAGCAAAGGTACAACCATCCTAAATATTTCTTATACGTGATATCTCTGGATACAGAAAGCTGACTATATAAGCAATTGTGGAGGGGATAATTTGAAGTTGCTACTTCAGTGGGCAAAATTTGGTCCATGGAAAGTTTAGAGGAATATTATAAATCTAAACTTTTTTTATCACTAAGATTTGGAAAATGGGAAATCCAAGTAAGGGAGTTTCTAGAGTCACGTACTATAACTTTAATCTGTGTTATACCAAGTACAGCATTACCAAATATACATCTAGAGAGACTAAAAGTAAATGATCCACAGTAAAGAATAAAAAAAAATGCTACTGATGTGGAATATTTATAATCAGAAAAATAAATATTCAGAGAGCTTACAGAAGAATAAAGTGCTCTGCCAGTTATTAAAAGATTACTGCTGGTGCATTAAATATGGCATTCCCTGCTGGAAAATACAGAGACTCTTCTGGATCATGTTCAATATTTATTCACAGGATTAACTCCTTTAGGAACAGATATAAAGCTCTGCCACAGAAGATACAGACAAAGCACAAAGACAAAGTGATAAGTCAGGAAGCAACACCACCATTTTAGGGAGAAAATTTGGAGAAGTGCAACATTATGCTCCATGAATAACATACAGAAAGCAAGTCTAAGAGAAATGACATTGTTACTGTAAGCTAACTTGGTAAGACCAAATGAAAATCTTTGAAGAAAATATCCAATGCCATTGACTTATCAAATACTATCTTGGCATATAATCTATGAAGGTGAAATTAAACAAACAACAATCCCTATCACACCAAAACAAAACCACCAGCTATTTTGTATTTTATGTCGGAAAAGACTAACATTAAGTGAAGTGACAACACACATTAGCCAGCAGGTCTTCTAGCAGTGGATTCAGCAGCAATGAGAAATAATGCACAACTCAGTTCCAGCACTTTATTACAAAAGAAACTTCCTGCCTCTCTACAAGATGCAGGGTGAGGAGGTACTCTGGGGTTGCTATTGGAGAAGCATTCAGTTTGCCACTTTGTGTCACCCCTTGCCTTTCTTTTATCCCCAGTTAATTATTATCTGCATATAATATAAATCTGGTAGACCATAAATTAGCAGCTTTCAGGACCCATGCTTGAAAGTTCCTAGGGAGGTTAAACAAATATTGTAGCCTAAAACCTCCTCTTTAACAAACATGCACACAATGGGAGTGAAGGCCTTAGTGAGTGATGGGGCAGGAAGGCTCGGGGCTCTGTCTCAACTAGAAAAGTACCTTGCCCCAAACAAACAGAAATATTACCTAGTGGGATCATGGGCTTTTATCCATTCTGGAAACAAAGAGAAAACAAAGAGAAATACTATCAAATGCCATGATAGTATAATCTGTTTTCTCACTGGGTTAATATCAACAGGACCCATAGTTTTACCACAGTTGTTTCTCTGTCTTCATGTGGTATCTATAGAATTCCTTCCTCACATCAGAAAAACAAACAGGCCAATCTGAGTAATCAATCAAGCGTTCTTTCCTTCTATACCACCAAACCTCTGTGAATAAAAGCTTTTCAAACTCCATGATCACATTTGAAAGCAGGTTACTTCTTGAGAGGAAAACCACACAAAAAATTTTTTTTCTTGATTTTATCACACCCATAAGCTAATCTTTTATTTTTCTAATGTAGAATTAAAAAAAAACCCCAAAAAATCATTGAGCAAAAAGAACTCTCAAATTTTCATCAGTTACATTATCTGAAAAAGGGGGAATTAAAACAAATTTGGTTATAATCTTCTGATTTGATGTAATTCCAAGCTACCTTCCCTTCTATTTATTCTCTTTAAGGTAAGGAAAAAAACAGAGCCCAAAGTTATTTAATTTGCTCTTTACCTCCGTATGAAGGATGGGGTGGGGAAATGGAGTTTCTAATACAGCTGATGAAATATACACAATGAATAGAAATGGTAACATTTTAATAAAAGGCAAAAATTTGAGATGTATAAGCTATATTATAATTTGGGGGGGGAGAAAAAATGTAATCTCTCCTATTGGTATGATACATTTTGATCAAAAATCTCATTGCCCTTTCCTACTACATGTACAATGATCAACTATAAGGCAAATCTAACGTTGGAATAGTTTTTTAAAAAAAGACACCTACTACTGATAAAATCCTCTGTTTAAACTATTTGCTGTTGAAAAGCATTAGTTTAAAAAAATGCAATGATTCTCTTATTGATAAAGTTTAAGGTATTTTCATTACCTTTAACAGATACACTCACAGCTACCTAACAAGAAAAGAAAGTATAATTATTTCAGCATAAAGACTGGAGTTTTTATTCTAAAATTTAATTCTTCACTGATTTATTCTAAGATGAATTTAATAGTCAACCAGGAAATTGGTTTTTATAAAAGTTATTTTATGGGTATAAAATACAGGAAAAAGTAATAACAAATGCCAAACCGTCTCTTTACTTTATGAAGCCAAATATTTCCTCATAGAACTTAGTTTTTAAAGCTGGAATTTATTCCTTCAGGGCCACTATTATTTTTCAAAACTCCATATAAATATTAAATCTAAAAATTAATTGGTAATTTTAATTCTCCTTTTTCTCTTCAAATTTCTTCTCTTCTCCTGAAGTGCTGACTTTCAGAAATTCACAGAATGAGCATGTTTCTTACAAAGTGGCTTGTCCTTCTTGGAGAAAAAGGTCTGACCTTCCAAACTTTCACAACACACCTAAAAGAGAAGCATTATTTAAGAGAATATCATTATTTTATTGAGCATGCCAGAGAAGAGGAAAAGTGATTTTCCCCCACTGAATAATATGATAGAACACTTTAGTTTTGACATATAATTTCATATATCTTTCATATATAATTTCATATAATCTTTCAAAAGCAATGAAGAATGACTATTTCTTAGAATGTATCTCTAATTTATTGAAATCACAGCTTATTACTTTTCTTTAGTAGGAAGGTGGGTCTATTAGCCCTATTGAAAAAAATCCATACAGAAAAAGGTTATGTTAAATATACTTTCTTTCCCCAAATTCTAAACAATGTTTCAAATTTGTTTACCATAATTCCATAATTGAATAAGCATTCAAATACTTTTTGTTGTAGAGAACAAAAGCATTAAAAATGAAAATGATTCATTTGCTTGGCCAACCCCAACTTTATTTTGCCCCCAATACATAGGCAGAGAAGACCTGAGACTTCTTTTTAGTATTATTTCTTTAGTAGAAACCCTGGTCAGCATCTGGTTGCTATATGACTATATAATCAGCCTCCAATACTTATACCTTCTTATCTTTTCCACTGCTTTTGTTAATTATAACGGTCATAAGCATTAGGGATTGAAGGTATATCTGCTAGAAATTGTTGCTTTTCATAGACTTTTTGAGGTCTAAGAGATAGATGAGGTAAACAAGAAAAGGTGCAATAGTAATGTTTGGGGAAATCATTAGACTTCAATTAAAATTACTTTTTTCCCTGTCATACAAAAAGTATTGGAAACCATTGGACATATTAAATCTAATTTTAAAAAATCAAACATCTTAACAGATCACCTTTACTGGATATTTACTCTCTAAATTCAAAAAATATGCCTTAATGTTAATCTCTGAATCTATTCTAATCTTTAAAAATAAAACCAAAAATATTAAAATATCAAATGAAATAAGTACTTTATTGTGTATTTATTATACAACAGTCACAAAAAAGGAAAGTGGCTTTTGCTAAGAAAAAAGTGGATCAACATATAGTTTACTCTATCAGATTTTTATAATTAATTTCTGTTTTATGAAGTACCTAACATTTCTAAAAACTACAAAAATACTCTAATAACCTAGGTTTTTTTTTAAAAGTAATGAACTCCTGTTGTTTTAAGAAGTACCTGGCTTATCCTTATAGACAAAAATTTACTCAAAATCACATTTTCTCTAAGGGTAAGGATCTTATTTTGTGCTGAATAATTTTAAAAATATTAAAAAATTTAATGAACTTCAAACTCTCTGTAAGAATATATTTTTCTTTAGGTCTGAAGGACTGTAAGATACAAGATATTTCCCTTAAGGACACAGGCTAGACTTGGCTGTACTGCATGCACACCTATAAGCAGGAAACAAGAGTGTACTCACTGAGCATACAAAGCAAGTGTCATGCCAGGTGTAGCCCAGAGCTTCCAGAAACATGTCTCCAGCTTCTATGGGAAATTCGCATCCATGGCATATAGTACCAAAGAGGGCATAATAATCTGTATGGGGCAGGGGGTGAGATGCAATATTAACACAGTGAAGCTTTAGAACAATAGTTCTTAGAAAGCGGCAACAAATTTTCAGGAGATGGCTTGATACTTGGCGTGGCTAGCATGTTTCAGGTTTCCCTTGTTGAACGTTACTCACACACCTTAACATTCTTTATTATAATTTTCCATGTAATATTTGTCACTTCTCTCCAATTACTTAATTGACCAATATGTATAAAGAATATTGTTCTCTGACCAGTTGTCAGTAGACATGACTGTTTGAGAGAAATACAACAGGGCTTCCAATAATTAGCAACAATACAACTAATGACTATAAATCAAGAACAAAGCTAACAGGCAAATTGCATAGTGTATCCACCTTGGCTAAGAAAGAAAACTAAAAGTTAACAGGATACTTCCATGAATAAGTGAGTGGCTTGCTGGATTTTGTCACAATATTAGCCACAATTTCTTCTGCTCTATTTTCCTTTTCAGTTTTATGACTTCATGTTGAAAATTCTGAGCCAGAGAATACAAGCTATTTGGAGCTGGTGGAGAGGGGAGGAGATATACCATTAAGGTGGCAATTACAATGTCCAGGCAAAGGGTGAGAGCAGGTTAGATTCAGTGGTGACAGCTAAGTTGGAGACAAAAGAATACACTCAGGTTAGAACTACCAAGATTTACTGATTAGATTGAATACAGAAAGAACAAAGGAAAAAGCAGAATCCAAAATCACCCCTAGGTTGTTGGATAGTGGATGGTGAGGTTATTTGTTGAGATGAAGACTACTGGGTTACCAACTGGTCCACGTGGGGGTGTTAAAGGAAAAGAAAGACACAAACAGATCAAATCGATTACAAGTGGCATTTAAATAAATATTCAGTAATATTTTTTCCCTTTCTGTAGACAAATCTTGGGATTTTTTTTCCTCAGTAGATTTTTATTTTATTATTAATTTTTTTTAGTGACCGAGTCTTACTTTATTGCCCTTGGTAGAGTGCCGTGGCATCACACCTCACAGCAACCTCCAGTTCCTGGGCATAAGCAATTCTCTTGCTTCAGCCTCTCAAGTAGCTGGGACTACAGGTGCCCGCCACAATGCCCAGCTATTTTTGTTGTTGTTGCAGCTTGGCCAGGGCCAGCGCCCTACCCACTGAGCCACAAGCGTCACCCAGATTTTTAATTAAAATTTATTTTTTCTTTTTTCCTTTTTTATTTTTTTGTGAAATTATAACTTTGTACATTGATGCATTGATGGCGTTCAGGCTACTGCTTCAATATACAATGTGAAATGCTTACGCTGAACTAAGTAACACATGCATCACAATTATACTCACTTAATAGTTTTGAAACGTACCATTGCATCATGCACATTAGATGAGGTCCCCCACAAATAGCCTCCCTCTTCTCATATCACCCTTCCTTTCCCTCTCTCTCCTCTTCCCTTCTACTTTCTGGATTATACTTATGTTTTGCCATTCATATGAGTGTGTAGGTGATTGATTTCACAGTAGTATTAAGTACATTGGATACTTTTCCCCCCCATTCTTGAGGTACTTTACCAAAAAGAGTATGTTTCAGCTCCATCCAGGTAAACATAAAAGATGTGAAGTCTCCATCACTTTTTATGGAGACTTCACATCTTTATGCATACTATTCCATGGTGTACATATACCAAAATTAGTTAATCCATTCATGCGTCGATGGGAACTTGGGCTGTTTCCATGTCTTGGCTATTATGAACTGGGCTGCAATAAACATTCTGGTGCAAATGTCTTTGTTGTAAAATAATTTTTGATCATCTGGGTATATACCTAGAAGAGGAATTGCAGGATCAAACTGGAGGTCTACTTTTAGTTCCTTGAGTGTTCTCTAAACTTCTTTCCAAAAAGATCATATTAGCTTGCATTCCCACCAGCAATGTAGAAGTGTTCCTTTCTCTCCGCATCCACATCAACATCTGTAGTTTTAGGATTTTGTAATGTGGGCTAATCTTAGTGGAGTTAGAGGATATCTCAAAGTGGCTTTGATTTGCATTTCTCTGATGATTAAGGATGATGAGCATTTTTTCACGAGTTTGTAGGTTATGTGCCTGTCTTCATGAGAGAAGTTTCTATTCAAGTCTCTTGCCCACATTTAGAAATGGGGCTATTTTTTTTTCTTGTTGATTAGTATGAGTTCTCCGTAGACTCTAGATATGAGAGCTTTGTTGGAAGCATAACCCGCAAAAATCTTCTCCCATTCTGAAGGTTGTCTGTTTGCTTTACTTACTATGCTCTTGGCTGTGCAAAAGCTTTTTAGTTTTATCAGATTCCAGTAATGTATTTTTGGTGTTGTTTCAATTGCCCGGGAGATCCTTCTCATAAAGTATTCTCCCAGGCCAATTTCTTCAAGTGTTTTCCCTGTACTCTTCTAGTGTTTTTATAGTTTCATGTCTTAAGTTTAAATCTTTTATCCAGTGAGAATCAAATTTTGTCAATGGTGAAAGGTGGGGGTCCAGTGTCAGTCTTCTACAGTTCACCCAGCACCTTTGTTAAAGAGGGTGTCTTTCCCCCATTGAATATTTTTGATGGGCTTCTCGAAGATCTAATGACGATAAGTAGCTGAGTTCATCTCTTGGTTCTCTATTCTGTTCCCTAAATCTACGGCTGTTTTGGTCACTATAGATTTATAATATAGCCTAAAGTCTGGCAACATGATACCTCCTAATTTGTTCTTATTTCTGAGTAATGTATTTGCTATTCGAGGTTTTCTTCTGATTCCATATAAAACAAAGTACTATTTTTTTCAAGTTCTTTAAAGTATGACAATAGTGCTTTAGTAGGGATTGCATTAAATCTGTAGATTGCTTTGGGTAGTATGAACATTTTAACAATGTTGATTCTTCCCAGCCATGAGAATGGTATGTTTTTCCATTTGTTAACATCTTCAGCTATTTCTTTTCTCAGAGTTTCATAGTTCTCTTTATAGAGACCTTTCATGTCCTTTGTTAGGTAAATTCCCAGATATTTCATCTTCTTTGGCACTATTGTAAAAGGAATAGTCCTTGATTGTTTTTTCAGCTTGACTATTGTTGGCATATATAAAAGCTACTGACTTATAACTATTGATTTTGTATCCTGAGACGCTGCTGTATTCCTTAATCACTTCTAAGAGTTTTGAAGTTGAGTCCCTGGGATTTTCCAGGTATCAGATCATATCATCAGCAAAGAATGAGAGTGTGATCTCCTCTGACCCTATTTTTTTGTTGGTTTTTAATTTATTATTTTTTTTATCATATCATAGCTGTGTACATTAATGCAGTCATGGAGTACAGTGTGCTGGTTTTATATACAATTTGAAATATTTTCATCAAACTGGTTAACATAGCCTTCATGGCATTTTCTTAGTTATTAAGACATTTATATTCTACATTTAGAAAGATTCACATGTATCCTTGTAAGATGCACCATAGGCTCTGACCCTATTTGGATACCCTTGATTGCCTTCTCTTACCTGACTGCAATGGCTAAGAATTCCATTACTATGTCGAATAGAGACACTGGGCATCCTTGCCTCGTTCCTGATATAAGTGGAAATGTTTCCAATTTTACACCATTCAATATGATATTGGCTGTGGGTTTGCTGTAGATGGCCCCTATCAGTTTAAGAAATGTCCCTTCTATGCCTATTTTCTTAAGTGTTCTGATCGTGAAAGGATGCTGGTTATTATCAAAGGCTTTTTCAGCATCAATTGAGAGAATCATATGGTCATATTTTTAATTTTTTATGGAAACAAGTGTATGGCTATATTGCCCAAGTTGGTCTCTTAACTCCCAGCCTGTAGTGATCCTCTCACCTGGGCCTCTCAAGACTGCTGGGATGTAGGTCTGAGCCACTGTGTCCTGCCAATCTCTATCACTTTAAACTATCTCAGGGAACATAATAGTCCTTCTTATATGGATCAAAACTCATACTGAACAGTGAGTTCTGGGTTGTAAAAGAGGATTTTTTTTTTTTTGACCTGTCTGTAAGTCTTTGTCCACAAATTAGACAAAAACAAACATAAATTATGACTTCTTTGAATACATTAAATAGGATATTAAGACTGAGGAGTTTTATGTGTGTTTTGGTTATATAGGGACTGTCTGCTAGTTAGCCAAAATGTCCTACAAAG